TTTTTATTACTTATTTGATAGGCATCGAGCTACTATAATATGGCTTCATGTAGGCTATGTTTTCTAATGTCGAAATCTGCTTCCAAAACCAAAACATTTTGAATAAAATGAGAAACAAAGAGTTTGCAATGTAACCTAATTTACTTTCAAATCCTCTTTCTTCAAAGTGAAATTCTATATTTTGGAAATTTTGCACGAAACCTGTCAACCACGATGTCAAGGTCGAGGTTGCTTCCCCTATCGCGATGTATTCCAAGCATCATGAGGCTATACAAACGAGCACTTGTCATAACAGAACGCAAAATATTTTTAATTAGTCTAATTGAACTATTATTATTATTATTATTATTATTATTATTATTGGCGCCACCACTGGATTCAATAATCTGCTGTATCCCTTGCTTTGCTATTTTCGATAGGTGAATAGGCCCTAATTATAACTTTTAGAGCACTGGTGAATATTTATTACTTCGTAATTTGCATAACGAATTTTATTTATAAACCATGCTTCCTACGATGTCATTATTTATATATAATGGCACTCGACTTTAACGGTTATTTATATATAATATTGGAAGTAAAATCCATTACTTAGATATAATGACCTTGACACGATAACACGTGTGCATTTCATATAATGAGTTTGAAGTCCAAGATATACATATAATGGTTATGCGACAGCTATTATTTTTATATAATGAAATGTAAAAGCAGTTATTTATAAATAATGAGTTAGTCAATTCGTTATTTATATATAATGAGGTGTCTTTTAATTATGGAGGTTCAGGTTCTCCCAGGCAAAATGTTGATTTTTAAATGGTAGGAAATGAGCTTTCCCGACTTCTGATGTATCTTTTAGCGACTTTAATTTAAGTTCTTCAAAATTCAAGGTTTTCCCCTCTTGAAAACGATCAGGTAAATTTTTCCCATTGTTATTACAGCAGATAGGCCTTATGTGTGTATACATACAGTACATAAACAAATTGAGTAGTTGCATACGATTTTTTCCATGAATCAATAAATCCCAAAAAAGGGGATTCCGGAAAATTTTGATTCTTAGAAGGCGGGAAATAAGCTTTCCCGACTTATGAGGTGCCTTTTAATTAATTTTTATTTCTTTAAAATTCAAGGTTTTTCCCCTCTTGAAAATGATTCAATGAATCAATGACTTCCGAAGCAAAAATCGGCCCGGGTTACCCTGGAAAAATGTTGATTTCTAGAATGCGGGAAATGAGCTTTCCTGACTTCTGAAATGTCTCTTAAATGACTTTTTAAGTTCTTCAAAATTCAAGGTTTTCCCCTCTTGAAAACGGTCAGGTAAATTTTTCTCATGTCTTCTTTTATGTGTGTATACATACATAAATAAATGAGTAGTTGCACGCGTATTCTTTTTTCCATGAATCGATAAATCCCAAAAAGAAAGGGTGGTCCGAGGGTTATCCCCCGGGAAAATTTTGATTCCTAGATGGCAGGAAATAAGCTTTCCCGACACTTGAAGTGTGTTTTAATTATTTTTACGTTCTTCAAAATTCTAATTTTCTTATTGTAACATAAAAAAAAAATATCAGCTCACGGGTCCTGAAAAGTTAGGTCTAGACTTTTTTTTTCTTTTTTTTATTTGGCCAAGGGAGTGGTCAGGACCCATTACCCCTCCCCCAGATCCGCCAATGTGAATCGCAAGAAAATTTAACTCAGTTGGGGACTGGATAAACATTCTCTTTCCCATCCTTATCCTCCTTTCCTCTTTCATTTCTTGCATTTCTTTCCAATCATACAAAAATCTCCAGACATTATATATTTTTTGCCAAAAAGTGGGGACCACTGTGGGTGTAATTTTTTGGCAAAAAAAATAGGGAGGGGGGGGGGGAGGCGTACGCCCCTTACCTCTAATCGCCATTCTAATATTTAACAAAGGACCCAGAAATCAACTAAGCCAATCAGCTGTTGAATGTATAGGTATCAAGTCACTAACCCCAATGGCAATAAATCGTGCTTTATTTAGGCTAGCTCGGCTAGGGTAGGCCTAGCCTAGCCTAGATGAGACCCTAGCGCCCCACGTAGGGCCTAGGCTAGCCTAACTACAGCATTGAAGATCACCAGTATTTAGTTATTGAATATAAAAGTTCTATTTTTTGAATTAAAATGTTCTACCAGATTGAACGATCAAACTATCATCTGTTGAAAGAGATAACGTTACATGCCATCCTGTAATGTTGGTGAATGTCTAGGGGATCATCTTAATAATTCAACACTTACTGCATGTGGAGAGTTGAAAACTAGCTACAGTGTACTTTTGGGCTGTGATACCTTCATTGCAGGGATCGTCTCAAAAATTCCGGTTTTTTTTTTTGTTTTTGTTTTTGTTTTTTTTTTCTTGCTAATTTTTCACTAGACAACCGGGCAACATGAATAGTAAATAGGCTAGCCCGGAGCGGATTTTTTTTGTGATATAAGGGGGGGGGGGCGTCGCAGGCGTCCCCCACTAAATCCGCCCCTGATAATGAATTATATATAAATAATTGTGTTAAATAATAAATTTACAATTGGCGCCTCATACATTTGTACCTCCTAGCTACCCGAAATGAAATAGTAGACTCCAAACCACGTAGCCCGCTTATGGACATCGAACATAACCGAATCCTGTTTTGGCATACTTTTTGAATACCTGCCTATTGTCGGCGCGGTTCGCCAAGCAAGAAGTATAGAAAGCATCCGCAACTACGGTAGGCTAGTAGACGCATAGCTACGGCCAGCTACAGTATGGCCTAACGGCAAATCTTTGAAAGGAGACTAGATTTTACTTTGGAAAAAGGTGTGAAATTTCAGTAAGCCTATCCTAGGCCTACTAATAAGGAAGGCTTGATTGAAGTGGTCATGTCATGGCTACAGTTATACCCCAGTAGGTCTATAGGGCAAGGGCCATGCTTATAATAATATACAGCTGACCTAATATACAGCTAGGCGTGCCGTAGGACTAGCCTACGCAAATTCGCGTCCGGAAGCTCTCTAGCCAAAACGGCAATAAACCAAAACCAACACTTTTTCACCAGAACGGCCAAAAAGGCAACGGTGTATGGAGCGCCGAAAGTGCGACCGCAAATCTAGAACAAGATGTAAAACACATATTTGAAACATGTTTAATGTTATCGTTTGTTGAGTTTTTATTTAGGGTATTATATGTTTATCATGTTTATAGATGCTTAAATAAAATTTATATTAAATAAGTATTGTATAGCAATGAAAACTTGAAAACATCTGCTCACTGAACGGTTCACTGCACACCTTAACACAATAAATGAGTCAAAACGGGACCCCATTTTCTCACAAAATCCACTATATAATTTGAAGGGTTTCATTTGGCAATCTGGGGCGATCGGATTATAAAACTAGATGTTTTAAGCTTTATAATCATCTATATATTCTTACGATTAATGCAAAATTGAGTGATCATTTTTCTTCTAAAGTTGACTACCTCTTATGCTTTTGCATAGGAAAAAGGTTGAAATTAGAGTGTCCTTTTTCTTTTTACCATAACTCTGCAACGACAGGTCGCTAAACTTCGGGGTGAAAGTCAATTGTAGCTCATAAATTAAGCTTTCTTGCCATGTAAGTCCCATGGGGGTTGCTTATTATATAACCATTGATCATCAACTGTTTTTTACTTTCAATGAATGACGTCACGCGGTTACGGCCAATAGCAGCTACGAATTTCGAGTTTTTTTGCGGTAAGTGCGTTCATGCATAAGATGTAGGTCAAATTAACTTAATAAGCTTTTGTCGAAAATAGAGGGAAAGTTTTCATTATGTCATTTGTTTGTCATACGTTTGTTTTTCTTGTTTGGTGTTTTGTTTACATGTCATCGTAAATGTTCTGGGCATGTTTATAATAATAAATATAAACATAAATGAAAGTACTTAATGATATGAAAGAAGATATTGAAGAGGAAACGTTCCCACAAATAGGTAGTTCCAATGTTACTTGAGGTGATGCTAACACAAAATTTGTATTTTTTTTAAATTTGTTTGATTTTAATGTTTGATACATCCGATTATCAATCAATCAATCAATCAATCAATTTATTCAACGATAAACCCCAACAAAGGGAAAGTGAAATACAGAAACTACAAAAAGTGGCATAAAAATTTCACAATTAAAAAGATCGAAACACAAACAAGTATCCAGAATTAACCATGAAGCAAGGTTAATTAAAAGGATTTTGTTAAGTTAATAATTGTATTAATATTATTCGCAATTATGAAAATGACAATAAACTCTGCAATTTGAGTCGTTAACAACCAGTTGCGACAGGAGATCAATTTGATTAGATAAAATGATATCCTTAACTTATGCGAGATTCAGAGTATGCTGAAGCAGAGGTGTCGTTCTACAACACTTAGGGATACCTAATGCTGCTTTGAATAATTTACTTTGTATTTTATCCAAATATACAGTGTTAGGCGAATTTATACACTGAGTACTATATACAAGAATTGGAACTAAGACACTGTTCCAAACATGAAGCTTAACTTCGGTGCTCGACCCCTGTGTACACATACCTGCACTTTGTAGTGAATAAAAGGCCTTTTGACAGTTACGGATGCGTTGAAAATCAATGTGCGATTTAGCCTACTTTTAAAATTACTATTAAGTGTAACCCCACGATGCGTAACAGACTCGGTGATATTCAAGATACAATTATATTCAAGAAACAGATTGGTTTTTGGGTCAGTGTATATTTGCCAAAGATTGTGCATACGGTTTTTGTAGGAATAAAACGAAGACCATGTGATACAATATAATTATTGGCCTATACGATAAGCTCTGAAGCCCAGTCGATGTTAAGCTAGTGAGCAACTAGTCGTCTGCCTAGCAGAATACATTAAACTTTGATTTTGCGATAATGATACCACAATCGAGATTCTGAAGGCCTGTGACCGGGTCTTGTAGAAAATGTTAGATAAGAGGAGGTGATAGGCCACCTTGCCCTGTGCCTTTACGGATTAAGATATTTCTACCGATCGTGTTATTTCACTTAACATTAACACATAATACTAGTGTATCATGCGTGCATACATCGCCACCAGTCATCATTTATAACATTATTTAATGTATAAAAGATAATAGAGTGGCAATTGATCAAACGCTCCTTCAGCATCGAAGGAACAAGAATAGACATTTGAACCTTGGTTGTTACGATCTGTAAATACATCATTCACAGTGGCTGCTGCCTTTGTGGTGATTTTACCATATACAACCTAAATTGGGATGGATCAAAATCGACATTAAAACATAAATCAATTAGGCATAACTCAAACATTTTGGAGAGGGTAATTGATACAACAATAGGTCTATAATTAGTAGGGATTGATGGATCAAGGACAAGTGTTTATAGGTACAACACATGCGATGGAAGTGTGTACGTGTGTGTTTACCTACCATTCATACATTACCATCATTAACTTCGTCTCTGGCTGCTATGCTTCCGATTTTGTTATTTTGTTGAAGAAATTGTTACACAATTCATTTCAATTTAATTTAGGCCTACATGGATCATCCAGATTTCACACACAATTCGCGATTTGGATTAGGATGATGATGCCTTTTAATCTAGCCGGCCGCGAGAGTATATGTGTGAAATGTTCTGTACTTAAACTGTAAATTTATTGCATAGTTTAAATAAATTCAGTTACAAAAGTATATTTGATTTAACAATTAATTTAATATAATACCTACCTGATGTCTTAGGCCTTCATTATGAAGAATAAAAAAGAATATGTACTGTATAGGCCTACATGACTTTTCACTTTTGGGACTGCAAGAGGAAAAAAACATTGTTTTCAATATAGAATGCTACTGTCTCTGTTTCTACACCTCCTGTTTCACACTGAGTCCTAAGGAGGTCGGACCGCCAAGGCAAGCAAGGTTGCAGTGCCCCTGGCCAGGGAGTTGTTATAGTCACTATAACCCGAGTTGTTATAGTCACTATAACAACTCCCTGCCCTGGCTAAAACAAATTTATAAAAAATTTGTAGTACACTACAGTTTCTCCGTTTTATTTAGCATTTCTTAGGCAGGATCTTATATATACACACACTAATCTTTCGAGTGGAAATGCTATTCATTGGAATAGCAACGTTTTTCAATGTTTGACCTACTTTGGTACCTAAGATAAGGCACAGTCGCACCTATCGCATCGTATTTAGAATTTCCGCATGGCCGGTCTTCGATACCAGCCAATCACTTTATTCAGTGAGTCAATGGAAGTCAGAGCATACCCTTACAGCGTTTAAATTTGCAATTGTGACAACCGTGTGGTGGCGTCAGAATAGCCAATTTAACACTGGAATGTAAGCAGTGCTTCCAAGAGTATGTGCGCATGCTCTTCTCACAAATCGGGACCTCCACTGCCGATCGGGTATTCCATCTATAAGCCTAAACTTAATCGATTAAAGTTTAATATATTTACATACATATGACCGGTATAGAAGAAACTTTGAATTATTATTATTTGAATTGAAATTAGAATAGAGGAATAGGAATTCATTGAAGAGAAGACAACCATGCCGGTATTAAAAATAACATGCATTGTATTTTGACTATAGAACTCAATCTGATTCTGTATAGTAGTGTAGTAGGCTTACGAACTTTTCCTATCACTAGCAGCCCCTAGCATCAATGGCGGGTCTTGAAATGGAAGGGAGCTGATGTTGTTAGGAAGGTAAAGTGGGGGATCGGTAACTCGCAAAATAAGGTGATATGAGTGATTTTTATTTACTTGAACATGATTGGTGGGCGGGGGCGCGACTGGGGGATGGGCGAGTATTTTTTCAGGGGTAGGGGGAGGACGTGCATCCCCTTGTACATCCTAGATATGCCAATACCTAGCATACCCTGCAATTTACTCTGCGGTCCGTCACTGCCAAAACACACTATAAGAATGATCATATTACAATAACAGTTGTAAATAACCACCAAGGTAAAAAGAAAATCAAAATGAGTATGTATATATCAAGCATCGTAAGAAAGGCAAACAGGTTCCCACATACTAAAATAAAATAAATCCCGTTTATTCCTTTTTGGAGCAATAAAGTTTAATATCTTATCAGACACCCTTTAAATTACCACAAAACGCCGTAAATAAACCATGTACTTCAGTGTTCTATAGTGAGGCTGTGAATCGCGACCGAAATGCATTCTTGCCGTTTTGGTTATTGCCTTTTTAGTTTATTGCCGTTTTGACCTGATACCCCACATCACAATCCGGCAATAGTTGAGCAGTTGGCTCAATATTGCACTTACTGATAAAAGCATTGGCACACATGTACTATGAACCATAATGAATATTTTCAGGTAGGGACTCATGTCAACAGCGCCCTCCCCTGTCCAGAAATTGTAAATTTATATTTTTAGCCATATTTGATATAAAAGTGTAATTTAAATCAATCGTTATTTTTCATTTATATATTTTATAGTAGTGACATTAATATAAGTATTAATGACAAATAGTTTGGCCCTATAAAAACGTAAAAAGATCAAAAAAATTGGTCAAAAAATAACATTCCTATTTTAAACATACTTATGTAGGAACAATTGTATTACAAATTATCTATAAATAATAGTAGCGATATGCATAAAAAATATTAAAGACAAATAGATTGTAAAATTTAAATGTATACTGTAACCCTCACTCTGATTTCTACAAGTCATATACTCTATTCATTCTGCTGTATCTGTCATACCGCTGGGAAAAATATACAACTTTGGTTGTTTTTATTACATTTATTTTGATTTCATCATCATGTATTGTTATTTAAAAAAGGCACAAATTGAACAATTTGTCATGCAGTTGATGAAGTAGATAGGGTAGCCGTGTTAGTCTGGATAATAACAGTTAATTAAAGACAAACAGCACATTCCAGGCTAACTAATTTTATTATTACACAAGCTTTTGACCACGCAGTGGACTTCATCAGGTGAATGTACAAATGGGATAAAAAATATGATCATAAGAAAGATTAAAACTTTTTTTTTCTAGATGTTTACTGAGTTTGTTAGAAATAGAAATTGGGTCTTTATGGGAATATAAAATTGCACTGTCGTCTGCATATAGCAGAAATTTACAATCAGAATCAATACTGAACCTTGTCGTTCATATAGATGAGGAACAGTTATAACGGTCCTAGTATGCTACCTTTGGTACTCTTAACTGGGTTGGCTGCGGAAGTAACACTTTATTTTTGTCAGTAAGACATCACCCGAACCAGTTATTAGATCAAAGTCTAAGATATTTAAGAACCCTAAACTCAAGGTCGATAAAACCATATTTCTGTTCATCCATCTTGAAAGTTCTTTTTCACAATCTTGCGTAGTGGAGTGACATTAGACGTTGTCAACTTTAAGGTATTGAGATTCAGCCACCATGTCCAGAGTGTGTGTGGTTGGGTGTGGGGTCATCGGATTATCAACTGCCATTGTAGTGCAACAGTCATTGAATGCACACGTCACTATCATAGCTGATAAATGGTCACCTCACACGACAAGTGACGGTGCTGCTGGATTGGTGGAATGTATGCTGGATAATAATACGCCGCAAGATCACAAACAGAGGTGAGCATCCTGCTGACCACCATTGGTACATGTGGTCGAAAATCACTCAGGTATGGTGGTAAATTGCTGTGGTGTAAAGGGTTAGGGCCAGTAGGCTACTTGTGGGAGGGGCCCAGTCATTCCCTCTCCCCAAATGTTGAAGCAAGCAAAATTGCCCTCAAGTATCTAATGTTTGTGAACTAGCGCACCCTCACTTCACATTCTTTCACCCCTATCAGTCCCCTTCCATTTCAAGACTCTTAGCTATGCCACTGACTGGAGCTCTATCTACAGTAATACATAATTTTCTACTATGAATATTGTTCATCATTTTCAATAAAAAAAAAAGTAGCCAGAAGTCTTTCATAATCATTATATATTTTTTTTACATTGCTGGGAACTACTTAAACTGCACATCACATTAAATTTGAAATAACTTTCTTTTTCAGGGACTGGATCTTGAGAACTGAAAAATATTTGGAATCTCTGGTTCGGAGTGAAGACACTGGTGCTGCTTGCGTACAGATCCTCTCAGGCTACTACCTCAGCAAACATAACACACAGGTGACATAGACTGCACAAGATAACCTATGTTAATTAAAGTTTTGAAAATTAGTTATGTTGCTCTTTATGTAGTAGGTTCCAATTCATAGATGTTCCATAATGAAAGGTCTGTTTTCCTTGAAATATGTTCCATTTCAGGGGTCCCATGTTGGAAGAAGTCAATTCAGGGAGTAGGGGTGGCGCTAGTAGTGGGCGGTTGCAGGGCCCCCGTCAGGGAGAGCTCCTCCCCCCTCTTTTGCCAAAGAAAAATTAGAGTTATTGTCTACACAATAGTAGACTCTAAAATCAATTAAATAAGCTTTTTAAGGGCTTCGCCCCCTGGACCACTTTCGATATATTTTTGAGAAACTTCCGACCACGCACACTTTGATCCCGTCAGGGACATCGGCCCCCTCGTCGAGG